TGCTATGATGTTGGTCCCATGGTAATGGCTGTCATGACTCTGGTTTCCATGACTATTGTCACCATAGGTAGTGGTGTCATAGTTACTATTGGGTTGGAGATTAGACACAGGGGCTGTAGGCTGATTACTCCAGGAAGCTGTCATAAGCTGTTGGAGCTGCTGAGTCAGCTCTAGGACCTGTGCTTGAAGAATAGAAATGGGATCAGGGAATTCTTCTGCTTGTTCCATAATGGTGGATATGGAATAAGGCAGGTGTTGGGTGTGTGTGGTAAGAGTAAAGGCAGGTAAGAGTAGAGGTGGAGTGGTGAAGCAGAGGTTGTCACTTGGAGACTTGGTCTTCTGTTAGGGCAACACAGGCTGACTAAGTCTGCTCACCTAAGAGTGCCAAGAGTCTAAGCAGGCAACAAGGAAGTGGAGTAGACCTGATGACTAAGACCTATCTACAGTATAGGTATCTGTGGATGATCCTAAGAGACCAAGTCTGAAGAGACAGTCCCAGGCAGAGTAGGCCTTATATTTATACCTCTGTGGTGGAACCTGCTAGAACATCTTGCTTACTCAGCCTAGTCAGGTGATCAGGTCATATGACCAAGGATGAGGTCATATGAGGTCATGCACAGCCATGCACAGCAGGTCACCTGACCATCCAATCCTTCCAGCAGGTTCCAGCACATGCCAAGGTATACCAGCTACTTCCATGTCATAAAGGCTTAGTCATGTCTCTTGACCAAGCAATGAGCTGGTGCCCTGACACACTGTTTGTGTACTTCTTTCTTCAGGCTTGCCTCTTGCTGACTGATGAGCTTCTTCAGGGCATGTCTCTTGTTGCACTTTCTGTGCTCATGCCAAGTGGACCCTGCCACCAGCTGACCACACCCACAATCACAGAGGACTGGCAGTTCTTTGGGCATGTCAAGGAGTAGGAGAGAGGGAGAGGGAGAGCTGCATGTATGCTCCCAAGGTGAGTTTCCTGATTTGGATCCTCTAAAGTCCAAATCAGGTAAGTCAACATCCTGTTTCACTCTCTTTGGTTCCCCCATGTGCTCATTTCAGCCCCACTGATGTATTTTCATAGGTACACTATCTAAACATATATATCCAGGTGTGTCAACACGTTTCCCCCCCTTCTCCCCCTTGTCCCCCTCTCTCCTCAACCACCATGGCTCCCTGCAAGCCCCAGCCCAAGAAGCCCAGGCATCTCCCCCCTGCTGCTGCCCCTGCTGCCCCTGCTACTCCCCCTCCTCCTTGTGCTTCTCCTCCTGCTCCCCCCTCAGACAACTTGCTCTCCTCCCTTGACTTCAACCCTCCTGCTCCCCCTTCCCCTGCTCCCCCCTCTGTGATGAATCTGGTCTCCTCTCCTTGCCTTCCCCCTGCCACTGACACTCTGCAGCCTGTGAGTGTCATGCAGACTCCAGCGCCTGGCCAGAAGAGGCCCTCTGAAGAGTCAAACACCCCCAGTGCTCCCAAACATCCCAAGCAACTCCCTGGCAAGCATGTTGACAATGTGGTGGACCTTGCCAAGGCAATGAAGAAGGCCCTCACCATCAAGGAGAAGCTTGCAGTGAAGGATCAGGAAATCTTGGCTGAGAAGGCCAAAACACTTGCTGCTCAAGGTAAGTTCCTTGCAGCTCATATAAGTACTTACTCAGGTATGCGCAGCCCAGATTACTAAACTGATGAAGCTCCTTGAACATGAGAGGAGCAAAAAGAAGAAAGATAATGAGGCTGTCTCCACCCTCATTCTGAAGCCTCCAGGGCAGGCTGGGCATGGGGAGAAATGAAATGGTTATAGGCTCATAGAGGCCATGGGTCTCAAGGACCAAAAGGAGCTTTTCAACAATATGAAAGTAAGTATTATTTACTAATACTACATACAATATATGCTGATCTAAACTACAGCAACATGTACAAGAAGCTTGCATCCAGCACAACCTCGACGTCATGAGGAACATCACTGAACACCCTCCTGCCCTCCTCTTGATGATCTACAAGCAGGTAAGTCATTATCTACCTGTTGAACTCTTATTCACCATTGCACAGGTCAAGGAGAAGTCCCCACAGCTTGCTGCCTTCAACAAGGACTGGGCCACCCAAGCAATGATCCAGCAGTTTGCAAAAAACAGGAAGTATAACACTTGCAAGAAGGAAGCAGGTATTGCAGCAGAGAGGGCCAATTTGGTGTGTGCACTGGAGGAGCAGGATGAGGACAAGGAACAGGCTGAGAATACCAAGGACTTTGCATTGTAAGAATGCATGCAAAGCACTGATTTGAATAGCTTTCATTGTACAATAGTATCATAATACAATTCCTTGCCATGCTTTACTATAGCCCATGGTGTGTGTGTTTCTCTCTCCCAATGTATATTAAATAAAGCCCTCAAAGTGCTGTTTAGAAGTTACTTTTATGAATGAATTTTATTAATAATATTTATTAACTATCTACAAAATACTAATGGGCTGAAATTGGGTGAAAAGCTCTTTTATTATGAACTTTTTCTTAACAAGTCCGGGGGTGGAATATCTTCCCTAATATAGCAACCCCTGTACTTATTTTCGGACCCTGGGGCACCGGTCCGGAGCACTTAAAAGCAGTGCTTCTCAGGGTCCCAGTGGAAGAGGTTTGTCACGTGTGCGGGGTATGCTGTCAGGACTTGTTTATTCTTCGATCGAACGTAGCAGGACAATTCCCATACAACCATGCTTTCCTGTGGTATTCCGTCCGATACTACAGTAATGAGTGTCACAGTTGTATATCTCTAAACGCGTATAGATGCACCAAAATTCCTACTCGTTATTGGTTCTGCGTTTCTTGGTCGCTCGGCCTTGGCTGGGAGATTCACTCCCCGGTATCAATTGGTGTGTCGGTGCCGCATCCTCCTTGGGGTCAGGATAATCTGCAATCTCTAGATCCGGTGGCATCGTCTCGACCAGGTCGTCAAAAAGCGACCAGATCTTCTGTAGATTGGGGTAGAACATGTCGTTATTCCACTCCGCTTCATAGTCATAATGGGCTCTCGCAATGACTGCTCCGATTTCCTTCAGGACAAGCCACCATGGCAAGAATGCGGCCGGTACCATCTCCGGGTCGGTTGCCGGTGTCTTCAGGGGCTCCGACAGCCGACCAAAACTCATGAATCGCTTGCGATCATTCGATGTGTTTCCATACCCGAACAAGAGGTTCCGAGTGTGAACCTGCCTCGGTGCAGGCACCGGATTTGCGGCAGGCACGCTATGGAGGAGTTTGTAGACGGCGACCCAGTACAAATCTTCAGGATCATGAAGTGGAGTGTTCCAAAACTCAGGTGGCTCCGAGGCTACCTGGCCCTCCTGTGGAGCGACAGTGTGTGTGATAGTCTGGCCAAATGGATCGCGGTTTTTATATGCTTGACGTTGCTTGTGCCGGACGGCATCGCGTGGGAGGTACATCCAACGAGAGGCAATCTTCTCTGCAGCCATGAAGAGTGGAGTGCCCTAAGAGCGATATTAGCGACATGCACCGGGATGCAACACCAGATCGTTCAGCATAGTCTCACAGTTCTTATTGTGTGG